TTTAGCAGTTTCTTACTCTTGGCTGGAGACTTTTTTAAAAGTTCCAGTTCGTGTGGGTTTGGTTTGCTGCATTCGAGTTTGTTGTGCAATCAGGGAAATGAGTTTTAAGAAGTAATTCTGTTTCCATTCCAGTTTTAGTGTATTCCCCTGTTTGGTTTTTAAAGGCCCCACAGGGTTTATTGGATCTTTTGCTAGAATGTGGTGGAGCCTGCATCCTTCAGTTGTTTTTTCAATTTCCCAACAGAATGTTCTCCATGAATCCCTCTTAGATTTTCTAAGAGTTTTGTTATACTCTGTGAGTGTTTCGGTGTATTCCCCCTGTGGTGTTATGCAACTCATAATATATACATACATATATGTAAGTTAGTTACTTTCAGTCTTAGTTGTTGGCACACCTGGAAGTGAGGTTAGGTGGTCGAGAGAGACTTGTATTATTTTGGAGTTAATAAATGTTTAATTAGCAGAACGTTTATTAGTTATTCTACACCCCCCACTCATTCGTCTTTTTAGCCTTATTAAAAAGTATACGTGTTTTCCTTATGAGTTTGGCGAGTTCGGTGTTCCACCAGCTCACCTCCGCAGAAGTTTTCCTGTTCTTTAACGGGCAGTTATTGTGATATGATGTTATAATTGCGTCCCGTAGTTGTTCTGCAACTTCATCTATATTATTTTTAGTATTAAGAGTTATTTTAACGGTTTTTTAGTACTGCCCCCAGCTCCACTCCGTATCCAAACCAATTGGTTTTTTGTGGGTCTCGGTACATATCTCCTGGTTTATCGACGTTGTCGATTTATATGAGAATATGCCGATGATCTGAGAGCGAAGGCTCTCTAGCCACGTACCACTTGCCAATGTGATTTGAAACGAAGGAAGAACCAAGGGTAGTATCAATAACCTCGCTCTGTCTACTGGTTACAAAATTAGGTTCGTTTCCACGATGCAATATTTCCAGGTTAGTGGTTAGAATAAATTCAAGTAAAGACTCACCTCTTTTGTTGTTGTCCTTGCTGCCCCATGTTATATGGTGTGAATTTGCATCAGCAGCAATAAGTACCTGCAGGTTTTCGGCCCGACAGGTATCTACTAAATCCCTCCGCTCATCTGTTGGTGGAGGGCTGGGCGAGTCATAGGGAAGGTATGCAGAGGTTAAAATGAGTGGCCTCTTGTTGCCTGCTAAGTTTATTTCCATCCTGACTGCTACTAGGTCTCTAAAACAGAATTCTTGTAAGTTGAGGATGTCTAGATCATTTCGTATGTATATACAAGCCCTTGTGTTTTCACATTGGGTATTGTATATTAACTTACCTTTGGTTTTTCCCATCCCCATCACATGCCCTTTTGTAGATCCAGGGTTCTTGTATTAGGGCTACGTCTATGTCCTCCCTGATAATGGTACGTGAAAGGGTTGCGGAGGCGGCCTTGTAGTGTCTCAGATTAGCTTGCACTATTCTGAGCATCTGAAAATTCTTCCTTCCTCTCCCTTTGCACTCTGAAGATTGCCTGAGTTAGGCCCAGATAGGGTTTTAACTGCAGGTTTTCTAAAGCCTTTAGAGAGTCGTCGTCAATCAACAGTACAATGGTTTGACCGTTGTCTTCCACTTGCCTGTGAATGACTTGCCACTGATCCGTTTGGATCCCTTGGTTTTGGGTTTTGATTCGCTTGCTCCTCAGTCAGTTTTTCCTTGCGAAATTCTTTAGGCACTACCGCCATTTTCATGGGTGTTAGTGCTCTTTATAGGACAAGCCACCTTCTACCACTTGCGCTGCAGATGTGGTTGCCCTTGCTCTATTAGACCCAATTTTAGGCTTCTTGGGGTGGCCTCTTACCGTGGCCTCCGTTGAAGACGGACTGTTACTTTGGAAAAGACCCCGTTTGAGTTGGAGTTCGGTTGGTTCCTTTCTAGTCTGTCCTTCTCTCAGCTCTGGGTCTGATTGGTTTTCCTTCAGCTTTAGCCTTTTGAATTGCCAATTTCCTCTTTTGGGCACCTGAGAGTCGCTCATGCGGCTCCAGGTGAGTCCTGTTGAGTTTTGAGGAAACTCGTTTCAGGCTAGTTTCTTCCTTGGGGTTTGTGGAACTGCCACTTGCCTCCGAAGGTTGTTTCGCCTTAGGGCGTTGTCCAAAAGTTGATGGAGACGAAGTTAATTCTTTTGGAATTGCTTCGGTTTTCATTACCTCAGTTGCTTGTTGTGGAAAGGTTTCCCCTTCTGGGAGTTCCCTGTCCGAGACTCTTTTTGGGTTAGTTTCTACCATATTGGTCCCACGACTAGCTAGGGAAATAAATGTCCACCCGATCAGAGCCCCGCATGACCAGGTAAGGCTAGATACAGAGGGGTTTCGCCATGTGCCCCCAGAGGAACGTTCACAACCGCTTTCCCAGCGGATATTCAGCCTTCAGCACGTTGCCTTACACAGCTTGGGTTATTGATGGAGTGCCATTTAGTTAGTTAATAGTGCTATTCATAGAGCAGCAATAATAACATATCCAGCAGTGCCACGAGGAGGCAGACACTCGATGATTGTATCTCTCCACCGGCATGCAGAAAGAGTTACCTACAAGCAGACAAGTAAACAAGCAAGCAATCTAAGCTACAAAGAAATGGCTACAACCTACCTTGCACTCACAAAAGGCGAACATATAAAACAGCGTCGGGAAAAATGGCATCAGGACGTGTCAAAATATCACAGGAAAAATTAGCGCGTACATATTTATTATTTGCCATATTCACGTAGACCAACCAATTCAAAGTATTCAAATAATAGAAAGTAATTTACAGATTAATAACAATTACTCAAATCAAGTTTGTTAAATAATTTACTGTTTTATATTAGGCTGCGTGAACAGTCGAACCGGTCGAAAACATCTAGTTTGTTCATATTGTTTATTTGTCAAAGTGTCATTTTCGATAAATAGCTTTAAATATTTGCGTACGTTATGGATGATTTATAATACAGCAAATCCCAAAAAGGTGGGAAAATGTTGTTTTTTGAATATTTTGAAGAGACAAGCAAAATGCTTGTTCGACGACATGGAGATGTACGAAAATTGGATATAAATATCGATTAAGTGTTGTCAGTTCTGACAAAAAACCGACTATAGAACATAACCATGCTCCCGATCCTGCAAATATTGAAGTTCAAAAGTCAAAGGTTAATATAGAAGATATAGCAGAGTCAACCAATTTAAGGCCATGGGCAATTATACAAGCCAGCACAAGCTCATTAAGTGAAGAAGCGCTAATACAGCTTCCTACCTGGGAAGCTTCCAGAAAATCTATTCATCGAATAAGAAACAAAAATCAAATAAAATCAGGAAATAATCAGACTTTATCACAAATTACTATTGATGAAAAGAGCAAATTAACAAATAAAGGTTAGACCTTCCTTCTATGGGGTTCTGGGCAAGAAGATAGTAATAGGATGTATGTATTTGGGACTCGTAACAATTTAAGAGTATTGAAAGAACATCCACACTGGGTCATAGACGGTACATTCAAGGTACGTCTAGAATATTTTAATCAATTATTTACCATACACGCAATAATAGATGGTAAAGCAGTAGGTACCAATAGTATATGCTCTGTGAAGAAATAAACAGCGGGATACTTACTATAAGTTGTTGAATCATATTTGCAAATTAGAACCCTTGCTGAAACCTCTAAGCATTTTAGTCTATTTCGAACTTGCCACAATTAACTCAATTTCGACGGTATTTCCTGGTTGCACAATTGTAGGTTTTTCTTTCATCTCACACAAAACTTGTGGAAAAAAATCCAAGAACTTAACTTAACAAAACAATATCGGGAAAATACAAAATGTTGATAGCCCTTAGTTTCATTCCACAGCGAGATGTACAATTTGCTGCCGAAATAATTAGCGAAAATTTCCCAAGATGTTTGAAATCGCTGGTTCATTATTGTCAGGATAACTACGTAGGCAGAAGGACTTTAGGAGTACAGGCTAGATTTCAAAATATGGAATATGTTCGACAGACTGGAAACAAATCTTCCCCGGACTAGTAATTCCGTGGAAGCATAGCACAAAGCCTTCCAGATGTCCCATTTTTTGGAAGTGACCATATAGTGGGATTATACAATCCCGATGATAAATGCCATGATGAAGTTATTCTGTCCCCCGTATCACAGGACATCATTTGGTACTATAAAATTAAAAGAATATCTCTGATAAAGTTCTAGATATCTGAATAATAGCACAACATAAATTTTATTTTAAATAACTATATGGGATATTATGTGAAGATAAAATTTGAATTTTAATAGAATTATATCCCGTCTAAGACATGCAGCGCTACTACTAATAGTAATGAAGCAAACTAAACATGTTTTCTTATCGCCCTAATTAAGTGCACTCCTAAAAATATATTAAAGTAACATAATGAATTAAAAATTAAAAAAGTTACATATAATTAACACAAATAATGGAAACCAAAACACACACTTAAATAAATAACGACTGGGTTAAAATATTCTCTTTGATCGCAGCAAAACCATTTCATTTGCAATTAATTCAAAACAGCATAATTTGCTGTCTATAATTTAATTCGTTACAGAATAGGAATTCCGCATGAAAATTGAAGCTATCAACGTGATGATGTACATCAAACTAATTAACTCGCCTTTCTCGTTAGGGCTAATCACTTTAGTGATGACAATGACGACGACACCGAGAAATATGCAAACACTGAGAGATACAATTTTAATTTAAACCGCTTTCAAAATAGCCTGGTTAAGATGGAATAAATGAAGTACTCACGCATTATCTTTTACTCTCGGAGTTAAACATGCAGAAATTATCAGATTTGAATTAACATAAAGCAAACGAAAATAAAAATAATATAAGGGACAGTTGTATACATTAAATTTGAATTAAACCTAAATTTAAGCAACAAGTCTTTGTAAAGATGGATGTAACCGTCATTCAGAGTTTAACTATCAACCGGTAGATAGAGTAGCAACTAAACTACGAACTTCAGTTAAAAATATGCGCAAAGCGTATGAGGTAAGATGTTTCTGTCAATGTAATTGTGTTTTTTTGGTCGTTAATCTTAAAGTGTGTATTAGTAAAATAAATATTCTAAATCTAAATTATATATTTTGTTTTAAACCCAAATTAAATATTTTAGAACTACTCGAAGACACTAAACGGAGAATATATAACTCG